CCGGGCTAAAGGCCCACGCGGGGGCTCGCGCCTTGCCCGGGGACAGGCTGCCAGGCGTGCGGCCTGTCCCGGCCCGTCCGCAGCTCCTCTGTCACCCCAGGAGCCTGGTTGGGGGAGCCAGCGCTGTCGTGCACATCCCCGCACACACCTGGGCTGCTGGAGGGGAGCTCCGCCAGGAGCTGGAAAAGCCCAGCTAGCCCTGGCCCCAACTGCGCCAAATGGGAGACGCTGTAGCAGAAAGCGCCCTTTTCCTCTTGCCTGCATTTGCTCTCCCCTCGTTGGATATGTTTCTCTTCTTCCACCTTTTCTTATTGTGTTTTAAAGTTTGTATGCGTGTATTTTGTATCTCCCCTTGTATTTTGGTATTTTTATCTATTTGTGCGCCATGGCATTACTCTTGTAGCTTATATTTTATACTCCTCACCTTTTAACTAAATGTGTTTAGTTTCAGAAGTAAGCTATACGTTGTAACAATGTAAACAAGGGCAGGAATCAAGAATCAGTGATTGAAGGGTAACACAGTAGCAGGCAGCAGTTGACACCTAGGGAAACCGCAGATCAACCAAGGGAAGAAATCAATAGGAGACAATGTAGCAACCGGGAAGTCTCTAAACCTCACTGTTCAAGGGCGAGAAGCCCTGGCCTGAGTTAATCAACCCTGGGGACCAACTTTTGGGCTGAATATCTCCAGATTGACCGCTCCCAGAGCCCTATTCAAAATTCATCAACAGACTCCCAAACCTGCATGTACATGCCGACAACCCCGGGGCTGACAGATGTCATTCAGTAGCCACTGAGGGGGAAGTCCCACGAGGGTCAACGACCCCTGGATTGATTGGGCAAACCTGAAAACTGGGGAGTCACCAAAGTCTGCCAAGGACAGATAAAAAGCAGTGAAAAGTGACCCTCAGCGGTGCCCTCTTGATCTCCAACTTGACCAGCACTCGACCTATCCGGCCAGAAGGACCAGCCGGCGACCCCCTTCTGGAGGATAACACCACGCTGAAAGAAGCCTTGACTGGCCATCAATGGCAGACCCCAGCACCTGTGGGATAGATATACCTGACTCTTGTAGCTTGCTACTGTGTGTGTGCATGTGTGGGGACTAGCCCCAAGGTTTATGATTTCATTACAGTGTTTCAATCCACCTAATAAACCAGAATTTTAAGGATCCTGAGTTGGACATTTGTAGCCAACAACACTGGGTCCTCCCTTTAAATTGTTCAGTCTGAATAACAAGCCAGTGAGAGCGCTGGCCGGAGCCCACTGACCTCAAGCTTGGAAGAATCACACCTGACAGATCCATCGGGGGGGCTTCGTGCTGCTAAAGAGCCTGGTTACAAGTTGCGCTTTAAGCTTCCCAACTGTTGATCTGGGTTATAGCTTGGGTTGAGAGCAGTCATAGTCAGGCTAAGAACCTCTCCCAGCCGCATGGCCCTGACCTGCTTCTGTAGGGCTGGCTGGCAGGGCCTCAACTAGGAGCTACAGTCGTCCCCACAGACCCGCAGGGGGAGAGAAAAGGACCTGGTTTCCTGGGATGCTGGAGAACCGAAACTTCAGTGGCTTCTCTATGGGGAGTGGCCACACGTTTGTGGAACACAAGCTGGATAACGTGGGTCAGAGATAAACCTGCCCTGGAGCAGCGTAACTTTAAGATGCCCAAAGGATACTTAAAACTAGTTGACATGTCTTAATGTGTGAGCAATCCAGGGGTTAAGAGCCCCTCAAGCTGCCTAAAATTAACCTGCAACAAAGCCCAAAGATTCAGACAGGGATCACATCGGATGTGAAGTAAACACCTCTTGTTCTCGCTGTGTATGTTGTCAGCAATCCCTTGATCTGAGGATCTCTACCACAGCTTGTTGATGGGTCTTGAGGTGACTAGAGTCCAATCCTTGAGTCACAGATCCATTGGTAGATGTTGCAGGCTTTCCATGGAGGAGAGTAGGCTGTAGACCAGGATTCCTCACCTTTTCCTTCCTCTGTTCTTTCTTCTCTGCTTTGAGGGCAAGACACTTTGCCTTGAAATGGGCTGCTGCTTGGCTGAGGTTACAGTGCCAGGCAAACAGTCACGGCAAGTCCGAAGCACAGGTCCAGGAGCTCAAACCAAGGTCCACTCTGGGCTTCTAGCCCTGTGTGCTTGAGGCTTGCCATGCCTGTTTGCAAGCACGTGTGTTGTGGAATCACACAGAACTGTATCTGTGTATCCACATCCACACTGGCACTGCAGCTATTCAGCATTGGCATTAAGATTGCTTGGGGTGCATTTTGGGATCCTTAGAACTTCACTGACTTGATCCACTTTAAGAACTTGTCCATCCTTCCCCAGCTCCATGTGGAAGTGTTTTTCACCTGCTGTCACATTTGAGGCACTGTTGTCTTTTGTGTGCTTGTCATTAAACAACACTTAGTGGCTTTTTACAGGAATATAAATCTAAGTCCTTGTTTTTTGGTCCAATTTCAATTTGGGTAATTACATTCAGCCCACCTAATTCCCCGTGCTTCAATCAACTCCAATATTCTTTACTTCCCAGTCTAAAACTCATTAGAGTAAGTGTACATTCTGTTACAATGGCTCTCTTCTAAAAAAAGATATAGTGAAACGACCTTCATGTATAGTGTTTACAATTCTGATATAGTATAAAAATCACTAAATACAAATTCCAATAAATTCTTGGAGCAAAGGCAAACTAACATGAATTGCTATAGTCCTTTTCATTATATGAATGCTTCCTTTCTCCCTCTTTCTAGTTACAGTCTTGATGCTCACCCTATGCAAAGGACAGTCCGAACTAGACATTTTTCCCCACGTAGAAGCAGCAGCCCAAGGTAACTATAGGAATTTGAATCCAATCTTCCAGTGGCTGTTACGGAACACAGTGAAGAATCACAGGAAAAGTCACTGTTTTCTAACAGTACAGAAGGAATTTTACTATGTTAAGGAACGATGTTGTTCAGAAAACCTCTCCTTTGCCATCTTGTTGTTTCAATGCAGAGGTTCTACCTAGAACACTGAACAAGCCCATCTTACCTTTGTTCCTGCTATTGCTTTAAAAAAACTGTCTGTCCCCAAATTGTCATATTGAATTAAATAGTTTGAATGTTTGTAATAGTTGCCCATTAGCCAGTTTCAGGAAGAAGACAAGATTTATCTCCTTATCTAGGCCATTGTTTTGGTCTACGTGCGAAAGGTCCTGACTTTGCTCAAAGTCTTAACTCTTGAATTTTATCTTTAGAGGTCTTTAACAAAGAGAACCTAAAAATGCAAATATCCCGAGTTCCGAGAGATCAAACCCTAGGGCCTTTTGACAAGATTGGAAAGAAAAGGTCACTTGCAGTGGTATGGAAGTTCCCCAAAGTAATTAAAATGATCAACAAAAGAAACTAATTACTAAGCAAAAGAATATGTTAAGTAAGATCTGAGCCCAAATTTGGGAGTAATGACAGGTTTGGGTAGGAGGAGCCCAGGATGGCAACTCACTCAATAAAAACTGTAACCTACTCTCCCAAATTGGAGGTAATCACACTTGCAGAACAACGAAGGAAGAATCGCAAGTGTAGACCGGATCAGACTGATCACCTGAACCACCCTCTCCGTGAATACGAATCTCTTAGTTCACGCTGAAGCTGCAGAGCGCCCGAAAGGGACTGAAGGAAGGGGACTTAGTTCTATCACTGCTGAGGCCAGCCCATTGAATGGTATTGCTGAGGCGAGCCCATTGAACTGTACTACTGAGGCCAACCCATTAAATTGTACTACTGAGGAATGAAACCATATTTAGGTGTTTGGCTTCTCGGAATTCTCGGATTGTAAGTATATTATGAAAATAATAGTATTGATTCAAATTTAACTTTTAGTTGTAATTGTAGTTGTTTTTGTAATACTAAATCTTATAGCATTGTTTGGGAAGGAAGTGCATTTGGAGGATTATTTCTTAAAGCTAAGCAGCGTTATATGCGTAGCAAAGAATTTTAAAATAAAATTGTGTTGTATGAATTAAGTGTGTAATCATTGTGAAATCATGTAATCAACTAACTACTCCCCCAGCCAGTGCATCAAAACGAATCAGTAAATTGTGTGGGATTTTCTCTATTCCATAACCCACTAGAGAGACAAATCTATATAGTAAATATTTTAGAAAAAAACTTTTAATTGGAGTGGGAATAGGGATGGTTACAATTGTGGCATTTCCATTATGTCCATTCCTTATCATAACTACCCACATTTTTTGCTATCATGTACACAAGAACGTCACTGAAAAATAATTTAATATATATTTTTAAGTCAATATAAAGGCACAAATAATGAATGATGCCAACAATTTTTTGTATGAAATCAGTGACGAATTTATTAAAGCGGTGCAATATATGCAAACAACACTAGAGTATACCGTGTCTTAGAGAATATTATATTGTGTATCTGAATGGTTTTAAGATCAGTATTATGAGACAAATCTTGAAGTTCTTATTCAGACAAAACTCTTTTTTTTTCCTGTGTAAGGAACTCAGGATTTGTTGCAAGTATTATTGTATTAGTCGTTGTTGTTGTTGTAGAGAACGTAGAAGACAACACTGGATGCACTCCTGACCCTGTTAAAATCAGATGATTTCAATGACAACAGAATTTCATCCATTGTATCTGCTTCAAAGTATATTTGTGTAGTCTATGTGTAGTTGTAAGCAGCTTTAAGCTTTAATTTTACATGCAGTTTCAATAGGCCATATATTCATTTAAAAAAATGTTTGAAAGGGATGCACCTTGTTAACACCTGCCACTAGCTTAAAACATGCCATACTATAAGAATACTATGCATGTATTAGGAACAGTATTAAACGTGTCATTATTGTTTAAGGGCCAATGTGGTTGTCACTGTCCAAGCAATAACACTGTATTTGTCCCAAAGGAGCTTATTGTTAGAGAACAAAATGTGGTCAGACTACATTTTTAAACTGCTAGCGTTTTTGTTTTCTGGGAGTCATCTGCATTTTTTTAGTGTGCATACACTGAGCACTGCTGAGAGGCCTTTCAAAGGCAACACTTTCCAATAGAGTTCCAAAGGAAATTACGGAGGAAAAAACTGAGGCAAGTCCTTGACAATCAAAGATTGGTTATATTAATACTAGTTTATGGATTTCCACATCATTCTGGAAATTAAATTTACTAAAGTTATCACAATTTAGGCAAAATATTTGTCAAAAGGGTAATGATCTAGTGATGCTATCAGTTTTGTAAGCTACATTCTGAATTATCCCCAAAGGAAAAAGTCTGTTCTTCAGAAGCCCCTAGGTCATCATCCTCTTCTGGGCTGTATTCCCTATTATGGTTCTCTGGAAAACTATAGATATTTTCAGGTGATTGAAACATATGACATCCACTGTTTATAAGCATCAGGACGTCTCTCTTCAACGTACTTATTTTATGGCAGAGAGGAACTATACAAAATTTAACTGCTATGACAATTTCTGCTTTACCAAATTCACACTGAACTCTGGCATAATTTCTGTAATAGATAATGACATTTCAAAATTGCTGTGCTTTGTTTCTAATTTTGTCCTACTGAGGCCTTTTACCAAAAGCTGTGTGGGCTCTCTTTTATGCAATGACGACTAGAAAGAGCCATCGGGCTTTCACTTTTGACAATTTATTATTCATATTTTTTTCTGGTTTAATAAATATCTCCCATGTGGGTGTATTAGTGACTAGATCAAGTTTAAATGAAGCATTAACCAAATGCCTAGATAAGAAATAATAATAATAAAAAAAAATACAGCTAGGGCACAATATGCTCTCTTCCAATGATGCCAAAAATACTGAAAAATTAACTACTGATGTGCATTATGGATTCAAATGAAGGTAAAACTAATCAAGTGCATGGCATTTTAGCTATACATAACATTATAGCAAAGACACATGACATATCCATAAAATTCAAGCCAAACCTTTTATACATAAGATAATCTGATATTTCAGATGTTATAATATCTAGGACTCCAATCATATGACTTCAGAAATTCATATAAGCCTTTGACATAACTGAAGAAGAGATGGTAAAGGCACTCAAAATGCTGAAAAGAATCAGAAGTCCAGGATGAAACTGTTTCCCAGCAGCACTCTACAAAGAACATAAGAAAGGTTATTAATTCTCTTGAAAGCAACAGGGAATAATTTGGTAAATACAAACCAAAGAACATTTTTATTCAGTGCTATTCTCAAAGCCTGGAAATTTTCAGGGAATTGCTCTAGGGAAATGATGGGAAAATACTTACCACTGGGCCACCTCCTGTAATAGATGAACCCTGTGAAAAATTAGAAACAACAATTATTTTCCATGCAAAATAGCTTTGAAGATATGGTGTTGTTTGTGATCAAGGATGGGAGTCAGATTCTCTACTCTGAGAAAGTGATTTTAAAGGTTGTTACTCTATTTGGAGATAACAGGATTGCACAGATGTAAGACTGGATAAGTAGAATAGTAAATTAAGCTCATCTACTTTACATTTCTGCTCAATTTAATGAAAGACTAGAGCTGGGGTTTTTTTCCTCCCTTTTGTGCCTTTCCCTACTCTAAACATAGTTCCGTGACCCACAATTCAAGAAAGATACACTGATAAACTGGAGAGTGTTTTGAGAAGAACTATGGAAATGATTAAAGGACTGGAAGATATGCTTTGCAGTGAGAGACTCTCAAAGCTAAATCTGTTGAGCTTATCAAAGAGAAAGTTAATGGGTTACTTTGATCAGAGCCGATAAAGCCTATAAGAAATACATATTTGATAATAAACAACCTAGCCTAGGTTGTTTAAACAACAATAAACAACATTTTAGCTTAGCAAAAATGTGAGATCCAATGACTGGAATCTGAAGCAAGACAAACTGCAGCTTTAAATGAGCTGCAAACTTTTAGCGTTAAAAATAATAACTAGAACAATTTACAAAGAATGTGGTAGGTTCTCCTTCACTGGAAATGTTTTAATCCCTGCCCACCCCACCCAAGATATGCACTACTTCAAACAGCCAAGGTTATTTGAGTAGATGTGATATCTTTTATTAGACCAACCAAGTAGTTGGAAAAAAGTTCTTAGCAAGCTTTTGGGCGCAGTTACCCCTACTACTCGGTTGGTCTAATAAAAGATATCACATCTACTCAAATAACCTTGCCTATGTCCTTAGATCAACACAGTTGCAACCAAAAACCTAGTTCAAAGAGGAATTAATTCAGGCAAGTCCAGTGGTCTGTGTTCTGTAGCAAGTCATATTACTTCCTGGCCTAATGATATATTACGTTATGAAAAATCTGCCACATGGTAACCCAATATGTAAGTTTCCACTTTACTAAATGGCATTGAAGAAGAAAAGAGTAAATACTGTTGGGAAAAATGTTCTTACCGGTTTACCAGACTGGCTGCCTCCTTGGAACCCTGATGAACCCTGTAAAAAAATTGGCAAATCACTTGTGTTTTTTAAATGGCTCATTAAAGTAGAAGCCTGTTTGAAGGGACGACATGATCCTGGAATGAAATCCTGGCCAGTAGGAGTTTTGTAACTGATACAGTCAGGGTTTCACCATTTAGTTGCACCCTCCTTCTTGATTAAATGAGTAATTTTGAAATGTGAATGCTATTTTGTCATTTTTCAGTCCACCACACTGCCCTATGCAAAAGTTAATATGGGGATTTAAAAAAACCCAAAAACTAAACTTTCAGAAAAAAACAGAAATTTAAATATTTTTTTTTATGGAGAAGGCTTGTTTGAGTGAACGCTTATTTAAATGGAAAATAAACTACATTTTATTATGTAGTACATATACTATTGGTTTTATGGTTATTGCATACTAAATGCAGTTTGTAGCTCCAAATGTTGCCACCTGTGAGCAATATCTTACTCTACAAATAGTCCCATCAACTCTAATGAGTCTTGTATAGATTGAAGTACTTTACAAGAATCATATATATATTAAATCTTTATGAGTAAGGGCGGCAAAATTGGGCCTTCTATCAAGTAATACAATAACTGATTTGGAGTTTACTATATGTAGCAAAGTGCCTGCTTTTTCTTCCAGTTTTCCACTTCCCTACTTCTCAGCAAAGTAAAATAGTCAGTGCTGGACACCTTGCTGCTGAAACAAGACCCCTGCTGTTATCTCAGCTAGACAATTCATTGCTCTCAGGTGTTTTTACAATACACTGTCAACAAGTTTCAAAGTTGCTGATATAAAAACTTTGACAGAAATTGAACTATTAAACTGAATTATAGAACAAAAGTGAAAGAGATCCTTCAAAAATTCTCCTGTGCTCTGATTCAGAGAGAGTCCCATTTTCAAATTATTCAATATTATATTGGAAGAAAATGCTAAATATTGCATAGAAAGGGTACTTTACTGGTCTGCTGGGCTGACTTCCTCCTGGGGAAGATCATAGGATTGTAGGAAAATAGAGCTGGAATGGACCTCACAAGGTCAAGGCAGGAGCAGTCCTGACTAAACTATCTCAGCTAAGTGGCTGTCTAGCCTATTTTGGAAAACTTCTAAGGATGGAGATTCTACGGCTTCTCTAAATAGCCTATTCCAATTTTTCACCACTTTTACAATCAACAAGAGAGAAACAGGTTCAGAAGAAAATGGGCAACTTGAATTACATAACTTTAAGGAAAAGATAACTACTCCATTTCAGAACTTCTCATTCAAGGAATGAAACACTAAGTGGTGAGCACTACGGTGTCCCTTCATTTTCAACTTAACTTGAAGGAAATTTTAAAAAGGAGGCTGTTTGAAAATAAAAGTAGATGCTGAGAAATTAACTTTCACAATGGTGAATGCTTATTACTTTCTGGGAAGAAGCATTTATTTAAAAAGTACTGCAAATGGCAAATTGGTCATAACATCCCACAGATTAGAATGTAGGTATAATGATTATACTGTTATGGATTGAAACACTGAAGAGGAGAATATAAATGAAAGGGGAGATACTTTGGCCCATAAACTAAAAGATCACTTTTAGGAGCAAATCTCTGCTTTTGAGATTATCTAGCAGAGACAAAATAAGCTAGGTAAAAATATTCATAAACAGAACACTGAATAAGATGACTCCAATTACCTACATCAAAACTGACTTACAAAATAGAGAAGGTGGTGGTGGTCACCATTTCCTTTAATATAAAAATTCAAATGTTTTGTCCAAAGAAAGCCAATCAAGTTTATATAAGAAGATGCAGGTAAAGATACTGAGATATGAGACCCTGACCTTAAGATGTTATATTACTGTGGCATGAAACTGAAACAACTCTTCAATAAAAGGTCCCACTCAATAATGAAATGACCTATTATATTCCACAATTAATATACCTTATTACAATTTTAACTATTACCAAATTAAACATGGCCTCAAAAATGCATCATAGAGAATCAGTGTTGTGCTCATATGTGCTGAGATTATCTCAGATAAGTAAAATACCTAATGTTCTCACATAATCAATATAAATTTTTCTACTCTTCAGATAACTGAACTAGATTTACCAATAAGCGTATTGGGAGAAAAACCACAAAAACAGTAACATGGGAAACATTTACGTACAGTTTTGCCAGGCTGACTGCCTCCGGAAGCTTGTCTGTTCTGTAACAGAACAATTGGATACTGGTTATTTCAAAGAACAACAACTTTTTAACCAAAGGCTGATGAGGTGATGCATGATTCTGCTTCAGGGTAGTTTCCTGGATTATTTCAATTTTTTATCTAGTACCCGCATCTGATGTAACAAGCCTGGGAGCAGGAAACACAACACAATCCAGGGCTATCCCCTTGGAGGAAAGTAGACTATGACATTTCACTCCTTCCTTGTTGTCTTTCTGGCTCATGATACTTACATTCTTGGCTGCAAAGCAGGCTGCTTGATCACTGTGTGGAGAGGAGAAAGATTGTCTCCCCTAAGCCTATTGCATTGCTTGGTGATTAGGGCATGACTAGAAAGCCAGGTTGTAAACATCTAGGGAAATTAGCAGTCCAAAATGGAGGTGCCAAATGAATTTAGGTCTTCAATGCAGAGACAACTTCTTTACAGGTTCCTGTCCAATATTTTCAAAATATTTACCTGAAGAAAAGTAGCCCCACAATACGTTTCCCATACTAACAGAAACTGACCACATCCAAGGAATTGGGGAAATAAACAGGTATTACTATGAGGCAAGCTTACTTCCTATCCACTATATTGCCTGTCCACTGAGGAAAAAGATCCCCATTACAAAAGAAAATTGTAAATCATTAACTTCAGGTTTATTTGAGGAAGACACATTATGTTGTTTGTATTTTCCAGCTTCCTGGAATGCAAGATAACACAAGTACAGAAGGATAGACTGTAACATTTGAACTCTTCAGAAAAAGATACCATACTGAATTAAAAAGATCTCTGATCTCTCAGAAGTAACAACTGAAAATAATAAATCCAACAGATTCCTTTTTCTCCAATTTGCTGAGACCATTCTCAGGCATTCATCCAAAGGAAAGAAACTCCCTTGTAACATAACCAGTTATTGACATATCCATTCACAGAGACATTCCTTCCAATTTACTGAGTGACATACTGAAAGAAAACTATAAATTCTCATGTAAAATGTCTTAACCAATATGTCACATTAGCTGCTGACGGAATCTCTGTAAAAAAAATAATTAGAAACCAGGTATTGAGTATAAATGGTCTAACTTTACTATGAGCTTAATGGGAAAAAGGCATATATTTTATATATGAGAAACTGCTTGCTGAAATTAAAGATTAGACATACTCTATGTTATTTTCTCCTTTTACTCTGCATGAATAGTATCAATTTTATGAATGAATCCACATGAACATGTAGATTTTCCTACATTCTGATTGTTCAAGCGCTCATGTTGGTAAGCACTTTAATTCTCATTTTATTATGAACACTTAGGTAACTTAGTTTGGACATATTTCATAAGCACAGAAGGCAAGAAAGATTAGCTAGAATGGTCTGCTCTCAATAGTTTTTAATAATTTTAAAATAGTTAAAATAGTTTTCAATTAACCAATAAAATTAAAATAGTTTAAAATTAATCAATAGATTTTTCACAGTTGAGTATGCTGCAGAGTTGGTGGTGTATATTCTCATATATGAATGACTTTTCCTGGCTAAGCCAGCCATTTGGTGAAATCAGATCTGTTTTTGAAGGGAAGATATTGCTCTTTTAAAATATTTTATTAAAAAAGGAGTAACTCCACTGGCATGCTGCATGATGATTGGACATTACAGCATAGTTGCGGTTCAATGAATGTACATCCCTGTCTCTCTGGTGAGCTGATATATGAAATGCCCTCTGTCATCTCAAGCAATATAAATAAAGCCACAGAATAATCACTCTGAATATGCTATCATATATGCATAGGTGGATCTAATCCAATACACTGGGAATTTTCTAATTACACAGACAGTGGGGGAGGGAGAAGGATAGAAATCGTGTCAGTTAACAAAAAAATACTTACTAAACTCCCAGCTGGGCAAACACATCCGCCCTATAAAGAAACCAGAAACCAGTTAGTTCCTTAGGAACACAGAAATATGGTTGGCTAGTGAACTGAGTGCACTGTCCTGAAAGAGTAGCAACCATGTGTTATATAGTCCCTAACATGAACAGATGAAGCTCATTTTGCCACCACTATTCCTATTAATTAGAAAGCTGTTCCAGTATTTCACCATTTGGCTGATAGTAATTTACAGCTCAAATTTATTCTAAAAGGCCATAAAATAAAGCTCAGTGTAAAGAAATTCTGAGTGTTTGAATAAATGAGTTTAAGTGTGCTCTTTTTTGCCTGGAATTAGATCATGTTCTTTAATGGTAAAAATACCATGAAAAAATAAAGCTTATTATAAGTGGAAGCATAAGAAAAAATATTAGTAAAATGGAAAATATTGAAGGTCATCACCTTTAATCCCTGTTTTCAGTGATTCACAATCCAATACATATCCTTTAGAAGTTAGTTTGTATAAGATTTCTCAGAAAAACTAAATATAGGACTACTCAATACACAAAAACTCATATAAGGCAATTTCTGAAATGGCTACACTGGTAGGTCTGAACCACACACAAGAAGAAAACAAGTCCCCGGATGTAAAAGAAAGAAGCATAATTTCTATTCAGTAATGCCCACCTTTTTCAAGGAAAACACTAATATTTTTGCCAAATTTAAAGTAGTAATAAAAAAAAAGAAAAATAGAGCAACTGAACACGAGGAGAGAAAAAAGCTTACCTGTCCCCTAGATCCGGTACTTTCTGAGGAAGATGGACTCTGTAAATAGTAAGAAATCACATATTACCATTTAATAGGTATTCTTTAATTCCACGACATTTTAGAAAGCCACACTTTTTTATCAGTTATTATTGTTCCCACTATTTGGAAAGATCAAATAGTTTGGATGCAAACTTTTTTTCATAACCATTTTATAAGAAAAGGTTAAAGATGGTTAACCTAGCTGTTTAGATATTAATTTATTCTGCTCTAGGGAAAAATGACTTACTTGTCCACCAGGACGACTGGCTCCCAAAGAAGAACCCTGTAAAAAAGATGGGAACCACATCATAAAAACCAAATCATAAACTGGCAGATGTCTGTTCAACTGGGATATCAGCATTATTCTTTAATGGTGAGGATATTATGAAATAAATAAATCTCTTAATAGTGTAAAATCACATATTTCCATTTCAAAGGCCCTGCTTCATTCCTGGACTATTTGTTGAAGTGATGCCCCTATTTTTTTTCCTTTTAAAAAAATTCTAGCATAAAGGTAAGACCTTTGTGGGTAAAAACCTGTTCTACAGAAAGTTTACATGAGGATTTATGTGAAAGTAAAACTATCCTGGAAACTTAGATAATCATTTATTTCCAAGGTGCTGTGAAGGGCAGGTTCAGTTTCAAGAGGAATACTGGGGCAATTGGAAGGAAAGAGATCTTTCTTATTATCTTTTGTGGGATGAAAGAACAGCCTATGGTGAAAATTCTCTCTCTTGTCTCTCCCTAGTCCCATATCTGCTTCTTAAATTAATAGGTAAAACATTACTTTGAATGTATTCCCTCCATGCAGCACTGAGCTGTCATTTTTAGTGAGAGAAATGCCTTGGGAGAAACATGTCAAGGCTGTGAAATAAAAGACATTCCTTGCTCACCTGAGGAGGAAGTATTCAGTTTATTCTAGAACACCACTCTAGGACGTGGTTTAATGTGAAAGTTCTTGAAAAAAGGGAAAGCTAGAAACTTTGTATTTTATTTGCACACTCAAAGAGACAGTCCTGTTTGGAAGGAAGTGACTCACTGAGTCAGTATTAGGGGAAGTTATTGCTTACTTGTTGTCCACCAGAAGAACTGCCTCCTGAATTAGAGGAATCCTGAAAAAGATAAGAAAATAATTATTTTTGTCTGTTGGGCTTCTTTAGACCAAATTCTATGTCTAGAAAATAACAGGAAAGTGGAGCCGTACACTACACATAGGTTATAATATCTGGCTACCAGTAATCAAGCTAATACCATTTACTGCAGCAGTGAAGACATGGCAACATAACCGTAAGAGGCTAGGTCTATGCTTTGGTTGTCAGCCTTAATGGAAGCCTGTATCGCTCCTATCCTCACCTGTGCTACAATCTCACCTTCAGTCTACTGAGCGGGCATATCCCAAAAACACAGCTTTCTTGCTTTTGTGCCAGAGGAAGGTGAGCCTCTTGCTCATCCCCCTTACAGTAGAATCCTTTGTAAAGGCTTATCAGGAGTTGTTTAACCAGAACAGGTCTATTGGGTTGCTTGGGTATTCTTTTTACCCACCAGAGCAAGGTCATATGCAGGTGAAAAATGTTCACTGGGGCAAAAGAATAAGTACTGAAAAGGAACAGTTCTTACCTCTCTACTGCTTTGACTGCTTCCTGAGGAATATGAGTTCTGGAAAAAAAATGGAGAGAGTAAATTTGTCTTTCATGGGCCTTTTAGAAAGCAAGGCCTGGTTGATGGAAGGGTCCCTCTCTTCGGTGACTTTTGCTTTTCTGCTGGGCATTACAAGCACAAGCTGAACTTCCTATTTTGTCTCTGTTGTTCTCTACTCTGTGCAGAGGTTCAAAGTAAAATCTCCAGACAGAAATTAGACCACATACTTCCATGTTTATTTACCCATCTATTGCAGTCCAATTTTGGAGGAAGGAATCCTTGGATCAAAAGCATGGGAAATTAGTTTGCACCTGTCTACTAGAAAGATTGCCTCCAGAGGGAGAGGGATGCCACACCAGGTAAGAAACTGGTTCCTTTGTCTTAAAGGGATTCCTGAAATTAAAAGATATGGCTAGACTGCAGAATATGGTGGGACTCTTGTATGGGTAGGCTTATCTGTGCAAGCTCTAACCTAGCTAGAATAAGGCACAGAAATAAACATGTGGAGGTAGAAACTTGACTGTGAGTTACATTCCTGAATGCAGACTTTGCTATTTATGCATGGTGAAGTCCACATGGCTGCTTCGTCACTGCAATAGTTTTCAATACCAGCTTGCAGAAAGGAAGCATAGCTATGTTTCGCTGGCCCATAATGATACAGTCATTCTTTTACCACGTAAAGGCTTATCATGAATAGTTTAACCAGAACCCACAGGGAAAGGTCATTTCCAGGTGAAAGCATTGGAACAAAAGCATACATCCTGAGAAGGAATGGTTCTTACCCCTTGACTGCCTTTGCTGCCTCCCGAGGAAGATGCACTCTGGGGGGAAAAAAATGGAAAGAATAAATTTCTATTTCATGGGCCTTCTAGAAATCAAGGCTTAGTTGATAGAAGGGCCCTGACCCATTCTGTATTACAGATTTTCTTTGTCTGCTTAGCGTTATAAACCAAAGGATGAAAATTCTATTTTGCCTTCTCTGTGAAGAGGTTAAATGTGAAGCTTCCTGACAGAAGTAAGGGCAGATAATGGCATCTTCCTTTTCCTGTGCACTCCTATGACTGTCTAGAACCCACTGGGCATGTCTACACAGTTAGAACTGCACAGTCATTTAGTTTGCTAAAGTACTTGCTGTGCAAATACTATGCAGTCTTGGCAGTGCACAGGTCATTTTTGACCCTACTAAGCAGGACTGTCTGAGGGTGGGACACCTCTTTTGTGTCATTGAAGACCAAACTATGATAATTTCTCCCCAAATAGACCATAGCCTTGTGTGTCTGGAAATGTTTCACAGTAGTTCTGTTCAAGCAAAACATGTGCATTAGGAAACACAGATATTCCCCATTGCACATCATTGATCTGTGTTCTTTTCAGGTAAAATAGGTCCCTCATTGAGACAAAAATTATAAATATTAAGAATAAGAAGTTCCTATCTCTCCACCATACTGACTGCCTTCAGATGAATAAACAATGTGGAAAAAAATTTGGAAACCCACTTATTTCCATGTTAGGAGGGACTCAGTAAGTAGTATGCAGCCTTAATTTACCTATTTTTGGTTTTCTTTTAAAAAAGATCAGTAAAAATAGACAATTCTACTTCTCCCTTCCTTCCACAGCTCTTCCGTGTTAGAGGATATTAGAGGAGCATTTGTTTGGAAAAAACGGTAAATTTGGCATAGAGATGGTCACAGTGTAGAATCTTTATATCCGTGGAAATATGCAAAAATGCACTGAGAATACAGAAAATCCTTGCAAGATGTAGTGACCAGGTAACTTAGTTCAAGTGTTTCTTTCTTTTTAAATAGATGAAGACTTTTGCAATAAAAACTGGTTGATTTCTTTGATAGTAGTGATGTGGTAGCAATGATGGTTCAAGAAATATGAGAGATGAAAGAATTTGTTGGGGTTCTATCTTTATGTGGACCACGTGCAAGTGGGGAGGGACCTGAGGAAGGGAACATTGTGACTGAAACCTCATCTAAATTCTCTCACAACTATGCAGTTGGTTCAGTGAAAGATACCATCCACAAGCAACCCTTGGAAAGGCTTTGATAAACAGATTAACCCGAATTTGTATAGCAGATGGCTTTGGTCACACACCAGAGCAGGGTCATTTCCAGGTTAAATATGTTCATAGGGATACAAAAATAAATACTGCGAAGGAAAACTTCTCACCGCTCCACTGCTTTGGCTGCCTCCTGATGAGGATGAACCCTGGGAAAAACATGGAAAGAATTATTTCTGCTTCATGGGCCTTCTAAAATTAAGGCCTGTTTGCTGGAAGGGCCCCTATCTTTTACTACTTTTGCTTTTCTGCTTGGTGTTACAGAACCTCTGACTTGTATATGCCTTTGAGTGAGATTTTATTTTCTGCAGCTTTTATCTGTAAACCTGAACTCAAGACCATCTGCAGCAAAACCCAGAAAAAGGAGAAGGAAATAACAATAAATCCAAATAAATCAACTTTTTCCTCCATTCAGAGAAGAATCTATAAATTCACCCTTCCCTCCCACTCATCATTGTAATATTTTAAGAGTCAAATGCCGTGATTTTGGCTTACTACTTGCTTAGCCTCCATTTACCAAGACTGGCACAAAGTTCATAAAATCACAAGATATCATATTATAACCACAACTGGTTACAATTAGAAACGTAAGTCCAAAGTGGGGACATTTACAAGGGACATTACTGTCTAGGTCATATTTTCCAAGAGCTCAAACTGGTCAGCACTTATTACCTTGTTTTACAATCTACTCTTCAGTCATTTTGTTCAGGTATATTTTATGAGCAGAAACGACAAGGGGGCTGAGTTGAATTTGTCTGCTCCCAGGCAGATTTTCATGCTTGGGCATGCTGCAGAGCGGAGGGGGACCTGCATGTTTTCTTGTGTGTGACTTTTTTCTTGGCAAACTGAGGAATTTGGTGAAATCTAGTCTATTCTTGCAGGGAGCAATGCAGCTTTTCTCATTTATGTTATATGAAAGTGGGTACAGAATGTTCACTGGTGTGCTGCATGGTAAACTGATCATAACTGCAGTTGTGGATCAGCCCCCATCTTTAATGAACTGATATCATAATGTGAAATACTTTCTCTCCTCTCAAGTAATACATGTACAGCCACAGGAATAATCAGGCTGAACAAGCCATCACATAAAAAATATATAGATCTAATTCAATTAACTGGAAATTATCTTACTACACAGATATTGTTAAAAAGGAGAAACACAAATACACCAAACCCGCCCCCCCACTTACTGAACCACTGCTGGGGCAATTACATTCATTCTGTAAAGAAAACAGAAAACAGTTATTGTGTTAAGTACTGAGGAGGTCTAGTTGTATGTTCCTCTGTTATCCAACAGAGCCCAGGCTCCTGATATTGTGGGCAACCATGTCATCATAACTAAACTACAAACTAATGAAGCTCCATTGAAATAGTAGTTAAATTTCTAGATCCCATTGCTTTTGTTAGGAGTCTGTTCCAGAATTTTATTAAACTGATTGCTAGAATCCCTCTTCTAATTTCTCGTGCAAATATATTTAAAAGGCCTTATAGCACAACATAGGGTAAAGAGTGCTGAGAATTTACTAATTGATGCTTCCTCTGCAAGAGGTAATTTTGCCTGAGAGTTACGCAGTCTTCTTTAATGGAGAAGATACTATGAAAGGTATAAAGCTCTAGATAATATGAAATAACATATTTTTATCCAAGAGGTCCTTTTCTATTTCTGACCCAGTTGATGAAATGGCACCCTTTATGTATTTATTATTTCTTGCAAGACCATTAAACACCCTCATTTTAAGCCCCATTCTATAGAAAGGTTCAATTAGGTTTACATGAGAACAAAACTATGCTGGAAACACAGATATTCCTTTTCTTCCAGGACTCAGAATAGTGTCAGGTTTACCTGCGAGCAGCATATTGGGATAAAACTGAAAATACTAATGCAGTGGGAAAAGAGTGCTTACCTGTCCACCAGACTGACCACTTCCTGAGGAAGGGAGACCCTGTAAAAGACAAGAAACCAGTTATTTCTGTGTCAAAGGGCTTCCTGACATCAAATCTGTTGATGGAAAGTTACTTTCTTGGTGTCTTCTGTGAAATGAAAGTGCAGTGAAAAAGGAACATGCTCTCACCTCCCTTTCTTCCAGCACTATTCCCTATTATTTAAACTGAGCAACTCAAAGTAGCCTGTTGCACACATGGGAGGTCTGCCATTTTCTGGTATTGGGACAGAAACATAAAGTAAATAAATAGTGTGGAATAACTGCTTCCTGTGGAAGAGGAAGCCCATAAGAGATGAGAGACCAGCTACTTATGTGTCCAAGGGCTTCTTGAAGCCAATGAGTATTTCTAGAAAGGAAAATGAATGTGGGAAATTAACACCTCTGCTGCGAGCAGTCTAGTCAGCACAGTTAATTGTGGCAATAAAGATGGAGGCCATGTGCTGCAAACCCAACCAGAAGACTTCTTCTGGGGATGTGGGTATATGGTGTGGTTGCCACACTTTGCTGATGCCTCTGATACTGCATCTTCACTGATGTCTTTACCTGTGCTACCATCACTTAAGTAAGTATAATTATGTCCAGCTCTTGCATAATCACACTTTTAGTTTGTTGTGTGATTATAACCAAAATGGACTGTTGGCAGAAAAGAGGTCTTTCTTGCTTTTGTGGAAAGAAACAACAGAGAAATGTAGTGTTTATTCCCCTCCCTTCTCCACAAGCATCCTTTACCACATGTAATTCAATCAGAACCAACACATGGAGCATCTGATGTGAAGTTTCTTGAAAGAAACCAAGACTTTGGGATTTTTCTTTGCTAATATATTCCAGTGAAGAGCCCAGTTTTAGAGCCCAACTGGGCCACAATGATGGAAAATTACTGCTTACCTGTACGCTAGAAAAACTGCCTCCAGAGGAAGAAGAACCCTGTAAAAGACAAGAAACTTGTTACTTCTTGGTGAAAGGGCTTCTTGGCATTAATGCCTGTTGAAGGAAAAAGATTTCTTTTACTATCTTCTGTGGGATTAAAGAACAGCAGATGGTGAACATTCCTTCCCTTGTCTCTCCCCAATCCATAGTCCATATCTGCTGCTTACATTTGTTGGGGTCCTATCTTTATGTGGCCCACCTGCGTAGTTGGGAACAGCCAGAGGAAGGGTACATTGTGACTGAAACCTTGTCTAAAGTCTCTCCTAACTATGCAGTTAGTCTAGTGAAATATATCATCCACAAGCAACCCTTGGAAAGGCTTTGATGAACATATGAACCAGAATTTGTATATCAGACGGCTTAGAGATACCTGGTAACAAACCAGAGCAGGGGTCATTTCCACATAAAAGAAGTTCATAGGGATAACAGCATAAATACTGAAAAGGAAGACTTCTTACCGCTCCACTGCCTTGGCTGCCTTCTGAGGAAGATGAATTCTGGGAAAAACATGGAAAGAATTCATTTCTGCTTCATGGGCCTTCTAAAAATTAAGGCCTGTTTGCTGGCCCCTATCTTTTACTACTTTTGCTTTTCTGCTTGGTGTTACAGAACCTCTGATTTGTATATGCCTTTGGGTGTGATTTTACTTTTTGCAGCTCTTATATGCAAACTTGAACTCAAGTCCATCTGGGGCACAACCCAGAAAAAGGAGATGGAAATTACTTACTTCTCTAGAGATATGGCTTCTGACTAGATCAGATGATTCGCTCTGTAAAGAAATAACAATAAATCCAAATAAATTAACTTTTTCCTCCACTCAGAGAAGAATCTATAATTCACCCTTCCCTCCCACTCATCATTGTAATACTTTCAGAGTCAAATGCTGTGATTTTGGCCTACTACTTGTGTAGTTTCCATTTACTAAGTAAATGAAGGTAAAGTAAATAGAGGTTTTACCAAGGTAAACCAGATTACTTTGAATGTATTCTCTCCATACAACACTGAGCTGTCATTTTTAGTGAAAGGAATGCCCTGTGAGAAACATGTAAAGGCTGTGAATTAAAATATGTTCCTGGCTCACCAGAATGACAGCAACCTGAGGAGGATGTATCCAATTTATTCTCGAACACTACCCTAGGAAGTGATTTAATGTGAAGGCTGAAAAATGGGAAGTTAGATACTTTGTCCTTTACTTGTACACTCAGAGATACTGTACTGTTTTGGAGGAAGAGACTTACTGGGTGCATCTACATGTGCCATTAAGGTGATGTGATAAATTCTGGTGCAGTGAAATGAATCAGTGAAGACACAGTAACATGACCTTGGCATGTGCTAACAACCAGACCACAATTCCTCTGAGAGGCTAGGTATTTTGGTTATCAGCCTTGACAGAATTCCTTACTGCTGCATCTTCACTGCTATTCTTACCAGTGTCATCTCCAATAAAGATAGTACAACTGTGCCTACCTGTACTATGATCATACCTTCAGTCTACTAAGCAGGAATATCCCCAAAAGACTCCTTTCTTGCTTTTGTGGGAAAAAATTCTTGAGGAAAGTGAACACAAACCCTTGCTCATCCTCATTACAGAAGCATCCTTTGTAAAGGCTTATCTGGATTAGTTTAACCAGAACAGGTCTATCAGGCTACTTTTACCCACCAGAGTAAGGTCATTTTAAGAGGAAAGATGTTCATAGGGACGGACATTAGGATAAATACAGAGAAGGAGGAGTTCTTACTGCTCCACTGTCTTGGCTGCCTCCTGTGGAAGATGAATCCTGGGGAAAAAATGGAAAGAATTACTTGCTATTTCATGGGCTTTCTAGAAATCAAGTCCTAGTTGACGAAACGGCCCTTTCCTGTTATGGATTTTCCTTTCTGCTTAGTATTACAAACTACAAGGGCAGAACTTTTTATGCTGTTTACTCTGAGAAGTGGTTAAATATGAAGGTCCCCAATAGAAATAAAGACAGATAACTGCATCTTCCTTTTTGTGTGCATTGCACTGACTGTCTAGAACCCACTGGTTCTAATCAGGGAAAAATGAGTTCTTACCTGTCCACCAGATTGACTGCCTTCAGAAGACGAACCCTGGATAAGAGAAGAATGCAGGTGGTTTTATGTCAGTGGCATTCTTGGAATCAAATAATATATCTGGACTGCAACATAAGGTGGTTCTGTAGCATGGGTTGCTCTATTGGTATTAGCTATGGTATAAGCATCACCATGAATGATGTACTACTAGATACACTTTAGTGCTAGTTCATGGTGAAATCCAAGCAGCTGTTACCCATGCTAGCTCGTGGAAAGCAAGTACTGCTTAGGTTAGGCCTTAGCTGTAAAGTCTGCTTTGTAGACAGATGCAAAGGGACTGTCTGAAGGTGAGACGCCTTTCTTTCTTTTGTGTAATTAAAGACTAGAGTAAGGTCATCTCTCCCTAAATAGGCCATATCCCCATGTTTAAAAAAAGCTTCATATTAGTATCTTTGTGAATGTGTATTCTAGGTCAGTTGTCCAAGGGCTCAGACTAGTCAGTACTTATCACCTTGTTTCACAATCTACTCTTCAGGCACTTTGTTCACATATATTTTATAAGCAGAAATGGCAAGGGGACTGAGGTGAATTTTCATGGTTGGACAAGCTGCAGAGCTGGCACTGCACGCTCCCTTGTGTGAGTGACTTTCTTGGCAAAACCCACCATTTGATGAAATCAGGTCTATTATTGAAGGATAATATACTGCTTTTCTTATTTATGGTTTGAAAATAGGAATCCAGCCACTGTTATGCTGCATGGTAAACTAATCATAACTATAGTTGTAGTTCAGTGTAGATACAAACCTCCTTCTCTGATAACCTGAAATATCTTCTGTCATCTCAAAAATATAAAGTTAGCTAGAGGATCATTTGGGCTTAAAAAAGGTATGGTATAAAAATACATGCATCTAACCCAATTAATTGGATTTTGGTTTCAATAATAAGAAGAAAAGGGGACATGTCTATATACCGAGTACAAAAACACTTACTGAACTCTGCTTAGAGCAATCACATTCTTCCTGTAAAGAAAACAGAAAACAATTACTGTGTTGAGACCAGAGAAACATATAAAGGGACCTCCTTGGTTATCCAACAGAGCCCACATCCCTGTTTTTATGGGCATCATAACTAAACCACAAACTCTACTGAAATAGGAGTTCGATTTCTGGATCCCATTGCTCCTGCTAGGAAACTGTTCCAAAACATCAACATTCTGATAGTTAGAATTTCTCTTATAATTTCCAGCCCAAATGGGCCTTTTATAAAAGGCCTCATAGCAAAACACAGGGTAAAGAGTGTTGACTGTTTAATAAATCAAGAGCTCATTCCTCTGCAATAGGTCATGTTACCTGTGATTAGGCAGTTATCTTTAGGGTGAAGATACCATGAAAGGTATAAAGCTCTAAATAATATGCAATTATATATTTCTATTTAAAAGTTTGTGTTTCTTTCCTGGATTTATTGATTAATGGCACCCATATCCATATTTGTTATTTCTTACCTTATTTTGCTGTAAGACCTTTTGGATGAATGCCTTATTGGGTGAACCCCAAGAAACCAGTTATTTCTGTGTCAAAGGGCTTCTTGGTATTAAGGCCTCTTAAAAAGGAAAGCTACTTTCTTAATGAATTTTATGGAATGAAAGACCAGTGAAAGAGGAACATGATTTTGTGTCTTCCCTTCCCTCTCTCCAGCACTATTTCCCATTGCTTAAAATGAACAGCTGAAATGAATAACTCAGAGCAGTTTGTTGCACAGAGGGAAGGTCTGCCATGTTTTGGTGAAAGAAATGCATATGGACTAAAACAAACATTGTAAATGAAGATCTGTCCACCAGAATAGCTGCTTCCTGTGGGAGAGGGATCTTGTAAAGGTGAGAGGCCAGTTACTTCTGTGTCCAAGGGCTTCTTGAAGCCAAAATGGGTAGTAAAATGAAGGTGAGAATGTAGCCCTAACCATAGTCTTGCTACCACATTTAGTTTTGGGAGTAAAGTTGTGGAGGCAGGAAGTAGGTTATGGGCTATGAACCCACCAGAAGGTTTCCAGGGGTGTAGGTACAGGCATGTCGCATCATACGCACATTTAACTTGTGCAAATTCAACTATACGTGGGTAGGGAGGGGGGGCGGGGCTTGAGTCTGCACGCGGCACTGCCGCTTACTGGGAGGCCCAGCCACCACCATGCTGCCAGCGGTGACTGCCTCTGCCTCCAAAACCTCCCGCCACTGCCATGGAGCCGTGCCCGGAGCTGTGTGGCTGGCCACCGGGCATGGTGGTGGTTGGGCGGCATGCAGCCATCCCCACCACCACCCTGCGCTGCGCCGGTGCCGCCGGCCACACAGCTCTAAGCACGGCTCCACGGCGGCAGGTTTTGGAGGCAGAGGCAGTCACCGCTGGCACGGTAATATGCGATTTCACTATACGCGATTTTCGCCTTACGCGCAGCCTTTAGAACATAACCCCTGCGTAAGATGCGACATGCCTGTATATGTTGTGGTTGCCAATCATTACTGAAGGCCATGATGCTGCATCTTTGTTGCTATCTTTACCTTTATTAATTCCACTTAAGGAAGCCCAAGTATGTCTGTGCCATAATCACACTTTTGGTTTGCTGTGTAACCATACCCAAAATAGACTATTTGTATGAAAATTTCCTTTCTTACTTTTGTGGAATAAAAGACCAGAGAGAAGTGGAGTTCTTTCCTTCCCTCCACCCCATGAGTAGTGGAAAATTATGTTGGGTAATTTAACCAGAACCAAAAACAAGATTACTCAGATATTCCTTTTTTGTACACTGAAGCAGGAGAAAGCATTTCCTTGGGACAAAAGCGCACATACTGAAAAGGAAGAGTTCTTACCTTTCCACTGCTTTGGCTGCCTACTGAGGACGATGAGTCCTGGAGACAAACAGAAACAAGTAAATTTGTTTCATGGACCTTAATCAAGGCCTACTTGATGAAAGGCCCATATCTTTCATGACTGACTTTTCTGCTTAGTGTTACAAACTACAGAGGCTGAACATGCTACTTTGTCTCTGTTGTTTCCTACTCTGTGAACAGATGTAAAGTGATATTTCTGGGCAGAAATTAGGCCATGTTCTTGCATGTTCCTTTATTTATATAGTCTAGTAAAAAGTCCCATTCTAGAATAAGGAACCGTTGGGTCAAAATATGGGAAACCAGTTTGTACCTATCCACCAAAATGACTGCCTCCAGAGGAAGAGGAACTTCATGTTGGTTTCTTCCATCTTAAAGGGATTCTTGAAACCAAGGAATGTGTCTGGACTACAACATAAAATGGGACTCCAGCATAGGTAGATGCATCAATGATCGCTTTAATCTAGCAAGCATAAATTACATGGCGAGGGAGGATGTAGAGGTAGTTTCAGAAGTTACTGAAAGCAATAATAAGAAGGAAAATTCACCTGACACTTTTTCTTTGTATTCAGTAGGTGCTGCTTTTATGCTAAAAATGAGTGTGAACTTTCTAGCAAGCAAACTAACAGGGCAAATGTTGGGATTAAGAACAAGGTCATGGGACACCTTAGCATCCATAAGAATGATTGAACAATATTTTGTACTGTAAAAGTGATATTGCAGTTCTGATGGTCCAAAACTAATTGAAAAGGCAAAGATTTTTTAGGTTGATAACTTTTATTGGAGCAAGTATGTAGATCAGCTAAAGTTAGACAAGCTTTAGCATGCAAGAAATTCTTCTTTAGGTCTTGCATTTGAAAGTTTGTTTAACTTTATCCCAAGTACATTGGTGGTGCAATAAAAGAGATCATCCTAAGAATCCTTGCCTCTCACATGGACAGTATTTCAAATAGAAGAGGGAACTGAATGTTCAGAAGCTCACAAGCTTCATCCCAAGCAGTTCTTTCTTTGTAAATGGAAGTAGACTCTAGAAGACCTGGTTCACTGAGCATTATTTTACTTTCTGAAGCTCTTTAAAATGCAATTTTTTAACACAGGCCAGCCTGAGGCAAAACACAGAAAGACATATGGAAATTGCTTACCCCTGATGAGGGGCGACTTCTGAGTATAGTATGAGATGCATGCTGAAAAAGAAAAATATGATAAAATAATGTAACCATCTCCTCCATCCAGACAAAAAACTAAAATTCCCACTTCTCACCACTCCCCATTCTAATATTTTCAGAGACAAATGCCACGATTCTAACTTAATACCTGCTCCATTTGCCAAGACTGGCATGAGGTCCATGAATATTGCTTGTATTATATACAGGTATTATATATATTACCTATATAACCATGGCTGATTAGAGGGTATTAGTATTAGAAACTTAAGGAAGGCCCTAACTGGGGACTTTTCCTGTTTTACATTACAGTTCTGATTGTCCAAAGACTTCCAGTGGTCAGCACTTATTGCCCTATTTTACAATCTTTTCTTTAGTCACTTTGTTCAGGTGTATTTTATCAGCAGAAATGGCAAGGGGGGTGAGGTAAATTAGTCTGCTTCTGGACAGATTTTCATGCTTGGGCAAGCCACGGAGTTGGCACTGCACATTCTTTGGCATGAGTTACATTTTTTTGGCAAAACCAAGCACTTGGTGAAATCAGGTCTGTTCTTGCAGGGAAAGACACTGCTCCTCAAGTATTTTATGAAAACCAGAATCCATCGACTGCTATGCTGCATGATAAACTAAGCATAACTCTTACTGTGTGGATCAGCAAAGGTACATCTCTCTCCAAACACCTAATAATGTGAAATATCTATTTTCATCTCAAGCAATATAAAAGTTAGCCACAGGGACATTTAGGCTGAAAAGACTATTGTACAAAAATAAATGGGTCTGATCATATTAACACGAATAATTGACAAAAAAGGAAATATGTCCATGCAGGGAGCTAAAACACTTACTGAACTCTCTTTAGAGGACTCACATTCTTCCTGTAAAGGAAACAGAAAAGAGTTATTGTCTTAATTACAAATGAGGGTACTCCTCAGTTATCCAACAGAGCCCACATCCCTGATATTGACAACTACATCATCATAACTAAAATGCAACCTGATGAAGCTCGATCAAACCAGAAGTTAGATTTCTGGATCCCATTACTCCTGCTAGGAGGCTGTTCCAGAACTTCACCTGTCTGATGGTTAGAATCCCTTTTCTAATTTCCAACTCCAAATGTATTATAAAAGGTCTTAGAGCAAAACACAGATTCAGGAGCGATGACTAATTAATAAAGCAAGAGATGCTTTCTTTGGAAAAGATCTGTTTGCCTGGGAATAAGCAATGTTTTTTAATGGTGATGATACTATGATAGGTATAATTTCCAAAAAGTGAGAAATCACGTTTCCATTTAAAGGATCCTGTTCCATTTCCTGAACAGTTTGATGAAAGGACCCTTCTCAAAGCTAAAAATAAAAGTTTAGTTTTTAGTTCACTTTATTTTATAATCTTTTTCTATGGAAAATTTCAAAGACGATTTCTGTAAAAATAAAACTATGTTGGAAATTTAGATGTTCATTTTACTTCCAAGAACCAGTGAAGTGTCAGATTTACTTTTAAGGGGAATACTAAGAAAGAACTTTAAACACAAACCTTGTGGGAAGAATTCTTACCTCATCACTGGACTGACTGTCTCCTGAAACAGAGGAAGCCTAGAGAAGAAGCAAAATCAGTTATTTCTGTGTCAGAGGGTTTCTTTCCGTCCAGAAAAATACCTTAATAAAATACTTCATTGTGGAGAACTAGAAGAATTCTTCCGACGCCTGCGCCTCAAAGAATATTTCCACGACCAAACTGAACTCACTCCCAACAACAACTCATCCTCTGACAACAGGAAAGGATCAATGCCAAAAAGCCCCAAAAAACCATCAGATTGGACACCTTGCAGTGGACAAAACCCTAACCTTGACTGCTACATTGACTGCTTCAGGGAAAGAATGAACAATGAAATAATCAGCAACACACGCCACCATAACAACCTCTCTCTACCAGAGAAAAAGGCCATAGGATCTCTAAGATCTAACCACCAAATAGTAATAAAACCAGCAGATACAGGAGGAGCCATAGTCATTCTAAACCGTGAGGATTACATAAAGGAAGCCAAGAGACAGGTCTCTGACACCACCTACTACAAAGAACTACAAGAAGATCCTACTCCCCTTTTCACCAAAAAACTCAACAATACCATCAAATCATTTCCATCAAGACTACAAGAAAAACTACAGACCTTGATCCCCCCGCTACCTAACCCAGGGACTTTTTACATGCTCCCTAAAATCCACAAACAAAGGAACCCTGGCAGACCTATCATATCCAACCATGGGAACCTAACTGAGGAAATATCAGGTTTTACTGAATCAATCCTAAAACCGCTTGTCACCCACAGAGCAAGTTTTGT